TTTCGGCTATTTTTGCTTTTTTGAGTTTGTTTTACCGCTTTACATTTTTTCACATTTTTTTTCATATTTTGGTTCCTTATCTATACTTTTTAGACAGTTTCATGTCGTACTCCGACCCTGAAGAGTTTAGTATTCTGTAAGTAATCACACACTTACGCTCTTTACGAACCGCATATAAAATTTCAGGTCCCAAAAGGGCCGCTCCCCAAATTATGCAAAACAAATGAGGCCGATCAAGAAGCATATGCGAAAAAGTTCTTACGTCACTAAGACATTGTTTGATCCAATGGATACGCTTAGCAAGGTTGCTTTTGAATGAACGTTTTGAGATTGTAAGCATCAAATTTAGAGAGTTCGAAGGACTGTAGTGGCGGATAAAACAGACGGATTTTGCTTAGACGTTCCTTACTCTATGAATAAGAAGAAACGTTGGGAAAAGGTACAAGCTTTTTTAGATCTCTTTGTAATTGAAAATAAATCGTAAATAGATTGATGCAACTACACTTCTGAAAATACGACAAAACCATCCAGCCGAGACTTTAGAAACCCTTGTAGTGAACAGAGAGGACGTTCCCCTTCCAGGTATCCTTTCGAATTTGCGTCATGGTCTGCTTACACCACTATTTCAGCAGATAGTGTACACGGTGCTACAGTAAAAAGCATCAAATTAGTTCAAAACGATGGCATCACTACATTGGCTAGTGGGGGAAGATCAAATTCTGTACGTTCCCTCACTGCAAAATCAACATTGCAATTGATCATTTTATCTATGTAACTATTATCTTCGCCTGCATTTTCAGCTCAGCCATTTCAACAGTCGAATTAGAGATTTAAAGCACATGAACAAAAAAGAATTAGATCCTGCAAGACTACTTTACAACTTTTCCACTGCTGAACAGTCACCTGCAAAACGAATGAAAAGGAAAAGCAAACAAAGTGAGTTACTTCTTATCAAGTGTGACTAATTAATTAGTTACCTGCGTATGCAAGTTTTCGTTTTACGGGTTGCGAAGGTACACGTTTTTGCTGTGCTTTCGTTAATATTCTTTTCGCTTGAAATTGTCTACTGTAGTGTAATTTAGCGCCGCTTAAAGCCATTTCCTATTACATATATGCCTTCTTGAAAACGGAACAAAATCGCAGATTCGAAAATAGATCTCGAGCTTGCCAGTATCATATGATGCTAATTCCGGTGAAGTAACGCTTTTACAGTTAGTGTCTGGCCTCTTGACATGGGATGCACATTATGAGATTTATCCTGAAATGTAAATATCTTGAGACTGCGCTTATTTGACTCCCACATAGGAAATGTCTTACTTTTTGAATTGTCTAAAAATTGGAAACATTTTTCTAGAAGCGGTAACAATCCACATATTGCAACAAATGATGTGTTCATATATAAGATGTGTCAAAGTAAAGTGAAGTAAGCAGGGTATATCAGCCAATTAGCATTTCGTTCGCTAAGCAAGAAAAAATTAAATATTGGAAAGGTGGCGCATTTGCGCTAGCGCAGAAGGGCACAAACAAGCTTATTGATTTGCTTCCAAGAATTTGTATGCAGCAAAAATGACTCAAATTCTCTTTCTATAAAGTAATCTTTAAAAATAGGCTATTCAGTGCTGGCCAAAGATGCCTGTCTATCCTTATCTAGGAACATGGGTATGTCAGAATAGACGGTCTTTAAAACCATGCAAAGTTTCCAAACTTCCTCTTCTCTCTCACTCCTTTTTCGCATGTTAGGCTTATAAATAATAACCGTAAACTCGCTTATTCCAGCAAAAGTCGATTTGTTCGTAAATG